TGTCGGGAGGAGAAATCAAACCAATCAATAGTTCAATTCTTGAGCACTTAGTTCATACAAATCATTACTCATCCACAGAAAAAGCCTTTCAGTGTGATATGTAAGATAAGGCCAAATAGCCCGAGGAATCTCCAGCGACATCCAATGTCCACAGCAGAGGCTCTTCTGTGGTGAGAGCTGTCTACTAGCCAAATTGGTAGACAGTAATTTACGTCAATATTTACGTTCCCAAGATTTGTCGTGAGAAAATGTGAACAAAGATTGATTCAAAACCGACCACAGCAGACTTTGCGTAGGCGGATGCAGTTAACATATAGGGGATTTGACATTCAAGAAACAGTCACAAATAGATGAAAGATTAACTTTACGTAAGAAACAACCAATCGGAAGACTGTGTTTGTTTGCTTAAATATCCATAGTAATGTACATGAAAATATATAAATATGCGTTGATTTCCTTAATAAATGATCTGTTGCCTGACTCTTGCCTTCTGTCGTTACACTTCTATACACAAGAAAAGAAACCTGAATTGTGTATACAAAAGTGGTTTGCTCAATTCATTTTACAAGAAAAGGTCTTGCACATTTGGTTTTTTGAACTTGTACATTCAGTTTCTGTCCTCGCATTTTTTCCTTGCAAACTCCTGGCTTCAAAATATACTTTATAAATATTCTGAACAATGTTCCTGTTTTTAAGCGCTTGTAGTTGTTCTTATAGTGATTACTTTTATTGATTTATTTTACTCCTTTGTGTTCCGAGTGGAACATAGGGCTTCAAGCTAGTGCTTTGAAGTTTCAGTAGCAGTGGCTTTATTTTCTTTTACGGGGACGGGTTGTTAGCCTCACGCCTAACCAGCCTTACTATAGGCTTAGCGAGATTTAGGAGTGCGTCAGCCCAGGATCGAACCTCAAACCACGTGCGTACTTGGCGAGCATTCTACCGTTGAACCACCGATGCACTGTGGTGGTTATTTGTACTGAATTACCGGAAAAAATGTTTCTATAACGATCCGATTAGTACACAGATTACACAGATAAGTAGTTTGCCATCTTTCTGCATAGGCAACTAGATGATGTGTCCTGTTTTCAATAAGAGTAGCTGATAAACCTTATCAGTACGTTTCACAGCTTTGTATCTTGAATTAATGGTCTCGTTGCATGACTGAGCCAAAAGGTTGAGTCGGCGCGATGATCCACATCAGCGGCCATCAGATGTCTAGTTCGTGTACAATAGGTGGTATTCTAGGGAACATATTATCTGTAAGCAGAGCATTTCCATAGGAATGGAGATATAGTCTATGTTAAGTGAGTCCTTATTGAAATTTACATCAGAAATCACTGCCAATGATATTTTCGATTATTACATTCAATTATTATCTGTGTCGAGTAGATATTTGGAAGCAGACACAATCTTTTTTTAAGATATGATTTGTTTTAAATTTGACCATGAGTTGAGAACCAGTGAAAACTAGGTAGTACTGAACAGCTGTTTCGTCGGTCTAGTTTTGAGACACATCGGTAGTACGCATTCGAACTAGGATGAAACAGTTGCCCAGTACTCCTTGATTTTCAACGGTCCTCTAATTGATATCAATCTGCGGTCATACTTTAAAACAACAACACCCTGATGAATAGAGAGGAGAAATTAACCAAGTTAATCAATAATGAAGCACAACAACATACGATAAAGAACAGCTATGACCTTTATATGATACAATAGGGTACTAGGCCAAGTGGTCACAAAATAAAGAATATTCGTCATTTACAGATGAACAACAAGAAAAAAAAGAAACTAAGTTTCCACATTAGTTTGTTTATTAGATGTACCACACAGTGAAACAGTATTATTTACTGGATGACGAGGTTTCGAACAAAATTTATTGTTCATAGTCATATCAATTATAATCACACGACTTCGAAACTTGAGTTTTATAGTTATCTTTGTCTTCTCCTATTTGTCGAAGGGGTAGTAGAATTTTCCAGATATCTGGGACAGGTGTTGAATCATTTCTATTACATGTATTTGCAGTTGATTCGATAAACAAAGCTTCTGTCATCAATCTCTCCCTATACCTTGTGACATTAGATTTTAAAACTGTCATCCTATCCCATCCATCCTATTGTATGGTTGTGTGTAATTGCATGCAGTGATATAGCTGAACTATTCTCTAGATTTCTTATCTTATTTGGGTCAACCAATCTAGATTTTGCTAAGTTTTTACGTTCAGCTAGTCTAACTGCCCCTGTTCTACTAGTTTGACCTATGTATTTGATCTGACAATTATTCCAGGGTATTAGATAAACTAAATTGTTTTGTTTTAATGGCTCCACAGGATTGATCCTTTAACCGACAAAGCTTATTTCTAATTGAGTTTGTGGGTTTGAATGCCACCTTTATTCCTGCCTTGGTAAGAATTCTGAGTAAGGCTTCCGAGGTTCCTTCCTTGTATGGAATTACTACTGATGATTTAGATCCCTTATTGTTGGTGTTGTCATTAATACTATTATTGTTATCACTATTATTATTATTATCATTCTTATTGTTATCATTATTTTCATTATCACTATTGCTACTTTCATTATTTATTTTATTTTTACATTTCCTTACATATTTCTTGATTAATTTATCCGGGTAGTTATTAAGTTTCAAAGCTTCTTTTAGGTGTATCAGTTCCTGTCTTAGATTTTCCTTGGTGCTACTTAGTTTTTGTGCTCTGTCACTTAAACATTTCACCAGTCCTATTTTCACTGACATAGGATGGGATAAGCGGAAGTCCAAATATCTGTTTGAATGTGTGGGTTTCCTGTAAACACTAGTGTTTAACTCCCCATCTTCTTTACTTTTTACGCTACAACCTGACATTGACAGTTCGCCTTCCTGACTTTCCAGTTCATAAGTGAATTGATGGATTGCCTCCACCTTTGAGTTAATAAGTTCGAAAAATATATCTATATCTTATGTTCTAAGTACAGTGAATGTGTCATATACATACCTCCACCATACTTTTGGGGTAGGGGTGAACGTTTCAGTCGCTATGTTTTCTCACCTATTGTTCGAAACGTCATCCAGTAAATAATACTGTTTCATTGTGTGATACATCTAATAAACAAACCAATATGGAATTACTTACTACCACAGTGCCCAAGTTTTACACATATATTAATAAGAAATATATTCCACCTCTTAATGAAGCTAGAGGATTTCAGCAAGCCTGATGATGGAATGTGTGCACAGTCATCATATACCAGACAGAGTTCAGCGAACATAGAAAAAATTTTATCTTCATCCTGAACAACACATTTTCTCTATTATTTCATGTCATGTGATATGCATACATAAAAATGATAGTTCAATGGGACATTTAAAAATATCTTTTATCTTTGCCAGTCTCTAAGTGTACCACCTTTTAAAAGTAGTTTAAAATCGTGCAGTGTACAGCAACCGGTTTTCCATTAATCTCATATTATTATAGTTCTGGATAATTGGATTTTTAGTATATGCATAGTAGAACCGTTAGATGATATAGACTGGTAGGAAACGATCAAAAATGAAATCAATATTCGAGAGTTGATTTGTAGGGATTTGATTTGATTGGTTACAGGATTTCATTATGAGCTGACATTGGTTAGAGAACCATTGAAAAACCTGGGAGTACTGAAGAGGTGTTTTGTCCTAGTTTGGGATTCTTCATCACTACGCACCCACCAGCAGGGATTCGAACCCAGGACCTTCTGGTTACACTTGAATATCGATGAGAAACTCACTACCGACTTGCCCTATTCAGGTAAGTAGTTCTAGTGAGAAATCGTGACCAGTAGGGTGCAGCAGGTCACGGGTGAGGACAAATACTCGCCGAAGACATTGGCTAGCGGTTGCGCTATGTCGTGAATTGTCAGGAGTTAGAATTCATGAACTGGCCACTGGATTGGGTGCCATTGGCTTAATGGTCGACGAGCTCGCCTTGTAACCAGAATGTCGTGGGTCTCAACTCCTGTGGCGGGTGTGTACTGATGAAGAGTCCCAAACTAGGCTGACGAAACAACTGTCCAGTACTCCCAGGTTTTCCAATGGTTCTCTAACTGATACCAGCTCATGGTGAAATCCTGAAATCAGTATTACAAATCAGTGTCTGGCTGCAGAGACAGAAGTGTTTATTCCTCAAATCTGGATTTAGTTAACGCTATCGTCATCAAATAACCTCATTGGACGACTTCTTCAATCTTGGATAAATTGCCAACCAATCGGAACAGTTTATTCGCCACTGATCCAACTGAACTTTAGCTAAGAATGTATAAATATGATGTGTTTTTCCCTAATAAAGGTCCGTTACCAAGGCTCTTATCTTCTCGCGTTACATTTGATGTCTCTGCCTTCGGACAGTGGCCTGTACCTTACGAAGGTGACGTACGGAGCTTCTTATGGGACTCAGATGCTGTTGCTGAGTTGGTACGCGTCCGGGTTCCAGATGCGAAGACAGTAGTGCTGTGGACGCCTCTGAAAGGTCGGGCAAAGGAGGCGTACGACACTGAGGAGCGGATAGATGGTGAAAAGTCCTTGGAAGGACCATACACAGTCACCATCAGAAGAGGAGATGAACAGAAACGTATGAACACTGGCCAACTCCAGAGGTGGATACATTCGGTGAAGCGAACCGATATCAAGATGCAACAATAGTGGATAGCATCAATAATGTCGAAGCGGCTCCACTCGAAACGCAACAAGTGTAGGGTGATGCAGATTAGTCGGAAGCGATCAAAACTGAAATCAACATTTGAAGTCAATGGCTGCAGAGTTCACGTTGTGAACATGAAAATAATCTCATTGGATAGACTTTGTTTAACCTTGGGCCAATTGCCCACTAATCGAAACAATTTATCCTCCTCTGTTACAGCATAATAAACCTAATCATTATGTCTTATTACTTAGGTGATATAATGAAACTGCATTAATTAAACAAAACAAAAAATAATAAAATCAACTTGTGGTCTATAACAACTTACTTAATATCCGTCGTCGAACAAAAGGTACCCAAATGAACTTGACAATCAGTACAGTGATGATACCGCAACCACAACTAATTATAAATACACCATAGAGAGGTATTTTGTCAAATTTCAATACTGTAGAGAGAAAAAATAATAAAATAAAGGAGAAGAGGGAAAAATGACAGTATTAAAGTAGTTGTAATCAGTTAATCAAATAGTGCATAAATGTGTCAGTGTGTGTGTGGACAGCTGGCAATACAAACAAACGACTGGACAAAAGTATTACATAACTGTTCACTAGACACAACGCACAAATTATATTCATATATACATATGCACACACACATATATATATGCACGCACCGGATATGTATTGACATGCACACATGTGATTACAGTAATGTAATTACTGCTAACAATTAAATTACTGTGTGTGTTGTTATATTGCATAAACAGACTGACTAATCATTCGGAAATATACAATTATATTTTGGCTATAATTAATTTTCATGATGGATAAATCAGTGATTTAATTGAAAAAAAATGTTGTAAGTAGTTCCATGCAGTTTTGGTAATTCAATTTCATAATATCTAGTAATAGACAATTTAACACAGGAGTGATGTGTATATTCTAATTCTACGACTTTAAATGGCATTATATAAGTAACCTTAAAAATATGATAAAAACTATATCAATCATCATAAATAAATAACATATTCATGTAAGGATTTAGTTTGATTGGTTGGAGGATTTCATCAGGAGCTGACATCAGTTAGAGAACCATTGTAAAACCTGACAGGGAGTACTGGACAGCTGTTTCACCCGTCTAGTTTGGGAGTCTTCATCAGTCCTGATCCACACAGCGGGGTTCGAACCCAGGACCTTCTGGTTACAAGGCTAGCGAGCTCGTAGACCATTAAGCCACTGCGACCCGATCCAGTGGCCAGTTCGCGACCACTTCGCAATGCCTTCTTCGATGAGTTACTGCCTCAGTTTCAACCGGCTACACCCTACTGGTCACGGCACCCAGGTTTTCCTTAGCTACACAAAGAGCAAGGGTTGGGCGTGAGGCTAGCTCCCCCACCCCTTAAAAACACCACTGCTACTGAAACTTTAAAGCTAAAGTTTGAAGCCCTATGTTCCACTGGGAATGTAAAGGGATAAAAAAATACGACACGTTAACTGAGAACAGCTACCCTGAAAAGTCCATCACAAAACACATGGCCGAATAATAGCAAGAAGCCTTTACATATTGGACTACAAATCAAAGATGATATACCAGGTAAAGTAATAACTAGCATGTTGAGAAAATCAATTCAACGAACATCTAATTCCGGTAAGCTGCAACTTATATTTTTCACATAATCAGTTATGATTCCAAAAGTGAAAGAAGAAGTACCCGTACGAATCACCTCTAACTGTACCTATCAATTCAACAGCTCCTATGGAGCCACTTAAACTGACTGTTGTTCTTGGAACTTAATTTTCCATGCTCAGGAACACTCACTAATGTCGTTAAATAAAGGTGTTGTCAAGACCAGCAACAGTTCTACATCAGATCACCTTGTCCAAACAAGTCACAAAGCTAGTTAACATTGAAGAGCCTTTCTCTATCATTTATCGATTATCAAATAAATCACCAAAAACCACTAGGTACCGAACACAAGATGGCATTTTAATTCGCCTAAATCAACCGAAACTCTGAGTACAAAAGAAACAGGTTTAGCCAAACACTATTGATACTCTGGCCTGTTGTAGAGCCTAAAATTTCATAAATTCTGCATTACTTCCCTTAATTTATCGGATATTCAGTCATTTTAGTGTTAGATTAATGCATGTTATAGTTTACTGATGCTTTTGAATTCTAATCTCTCTCTATATTATTGATTCAATATAATTTATAACATTAATGTTATTAATAAAAATATTTCTCTAACTATTACGGTCATATAAATATATAGAACCTGATGACGAATTTATCGAAAAGAATATTCTTTGTTCATTACTTGCAGTATAAACCTGATATTAGGTGCGGCCTAAAATGGCACACATAGACATTTTGAATAAAGAAGTTCATAGTTCTTTACTACTATTACTATTATTATTTCTTTGGGTCCCGAATGCAGCATACGGCTTCAACATCTCATCTCCACTCTGTCATGTCCTCTGCAGTCACCTTTAGCTGGCGCCACGATTGCGCATAGGCTCCCATATTCCCTACGTCTTCCTCGGACGCTCAAATCATATTTTCTCACTCGCGTTCCACTCAGGCGATGGCCTGGAGTGCAACAGTCTCCTCAGCGTATGTCTGATCCATCCACTTCCATTTTCTTCTTCATATTTGTTGAGCAACCACTTCTTAATTGGATCGTTAGCATATTTCCTTGTTGACTATTCTTTCTGACCGGGCATCTGGTCTTCAATATGGAGCGAAGGCATCCGCTGATAAAAGTCTGCGGTGGCCTGTTGGAAATGCTTTGCATGATGCACACACCAAGTTTCTGAATCATGTGGAAGAACTGCTTTTACTATTTTACTTTCGTTCCCAGTGGAACATAGGGCTCCAAGCTAGAGCTTTAAAGTTTCAGTAGCAGCGATTTTTCTTTTACGGGATGGCATTGCTAGTCTAATGTCCAACCTTCCTTCTTTACCCGTCTTATTGCCGGCTTGGCGAGGTTTAGAAGTGCATCGGCCGAGGATCGAACCCCGGACCAAACGAGTAGTTGGCAAGTACTCTACCAATAAGCCACGGAAAAACTGACTGACTTGATATTGGTGTTCAAAATCCGAGTTTTATTGTTTATGTTGAATGCAGAAGACTGCCGAACTGATTTCAGAGTAATGTTGCGGTTTTCACATCCTCATCTATCTTTAGTTTTAGCTAAATACACTACGATCTCTACAGGACTTCATGAATCCCAAGTCAAGTTCTCATCAACAAGTCTCATACATTTTCAACAGCTTAACGTTGCTACCGAAAATGGTATGTGAAGATGAGATGGGAGCTTATGAGCAGCTGTGAAGCTGGTTAAATAGAACTGTAGAGAACAGGGTGAAATGGAAATGTGCTGTTGGAAGAAGCCCTATGTTCCCCCGAAGAAACCCATGAGAATAATGATAATAATATGGCGCCATCAGGAGCTTTTTGAAACACCGACTTATCATCTTTTCAGCATCTAGATACAAGAGTTTTGATGACGAAAAATCAGATTCTAAAATCTATTAACAAACTGGACTTCAGTATGCAAACACCTTGTAAAAGAAATATGCATAGACGAATTTTGAGATTTATTCCGAAAGTAATATGATTAATAAACGATAGATAAACTGTTATACAGATTTACTGTAGGATAATTTACTTGACATCGAATAAAGTACTTAGAAAATACAGTACTACTCGGTAAATAGTATGTTATATACTTGTGGTGAGAGCTGGCTGATAGCCAAAGTTGGTAGACAGTAATTAACGTCAATGTTTATGTTCCCAATATTGGTGGTGAGAAAATGAGAACAAAGGCTGTGCGTAGGCGGATACAGTTAGCATATAGATGATCTGACACAGACACAAAGAGATGCAAGCTTAACTTTCTGTGAGAAACAACCAATCAAAAGACTGTATTTTCTACTAACAATAATCTACAATAATGTACATTAAAATCTATACATATGTGTTAATTTTCCTTAATAAACAATCTGTTGCCTGGCCCTTGTCTTTTGTTGTTATATACTGACATTCTTCAAACGCTAAACACTTTGCATCACATACCTACCGAAACTGGTTTAACACACTCATATTCAGCTTAAGTGAAGACAAGAAGTATTCTTGTGAACTTCCACCTTGTAATGACATTCAAAAGTTCCTTCTACTGAATTATACACATATTATATACACTATATTCAAACTGAATATTCACTGAAGACTCAAAAAGATATCTAAGTAGAAGTGACTAGCGAAAACGAAAGCTATTTCTGATGAAAGTGGGGTAATGTAGGTGGAGAATGCCGATGAATTCACCTTAAAGATAAGCATTTTGATCATCTGTCCATCTTTTAATTATTTAACTCACTCTTGTTGAATAATGTGAGGAATATAAGGAAATTCACACCTCTTCCACTTATTTAGGCAGTGTTATTTCGACTACATGAGGTTAAAGCCAACCAGCGTCGGCAAGCTAAGACAGGCATTCATTACTCGGAAAATCATTGTGGACATCTGATGTAGTCAGTAAACAGGACAAGACTCATATTTTTAACACCACCAGTTTAATACCAAGTCAGTTCTTCTGCGTGTTTTAGCAGCTTGTCGCACTACCAAAAAACAAACATTCTCAACAGGCTGTTGCAGGCTTTCATCGACAGCCACCTTCGCTTCATACTGAAGATCTGATAGCAGATCAGAAAGAATTAGCCACGAGGAACTCTGAGAAAGGATCAATCAAGAATCTATTGATCGACTAATATGCCGAAGAAAATACACAGACTTGACATATGCTGAGGAGACCATCGAATGGTCCTAGAGTCGAACTCCAATAGGAAAAGACGAGTTTGGCATGGTTTTGAGAGTGATATGGAGGAGATCATGTGAGGCAGAAACGAAAACTAATTAACAATCAGGCAGCGAGCTAGATAAGACTCCGGAGAACAAGGGTGAAATGCAGATGTGCTAGTGGAATTTTATGTTCCCCTAGGAACCCCATGGAATAATAATGTTTCTAATAATAGTACTAATAGTAATTACTGTTATAAATCAGACAACACAGATGAAATATTTACTTTAATTGTGAAATGAAAATGGATTTAAGAATAACTTACATGCAGGTCCTTCATAAAATATTGAAAAACAATTGACTAGAACTACAGTGCCAAAAAATCCTGGGAGAAGTTTAAGTGAAGGTTCGAGAGGATCATCCTGTAAAATAAATACAAAATATTTGTAAGCATAATTATATATATATATATATATATGTATATATATATATATATACTTAGGAGCTGATTTGTAGGAATTCGATTTGTTTTAGGTTTGATCACGGATTAATATTAGTTAGAGAAGCATTTTGATACCAGGGAGTACTGGACACTTGTTTCATCCTCTTAGTTTCAAACTCATCGTCAATATTCACCCATCAAGGTTCGAATGGTGGACAATTCAGGTTACAAGGAAAGCTCATAAATTATTCAGCCATTGGGAGAAGTTGTGACTAGTGGAGTTCATCACCAAGTCAGGGGTGAGGATGAATACTCACCGATCACACTGACTGGTGGTCATGATGAACTGGTAGAAGTTAGGACTCATAGGCCGCTGAATGAGGTCCCAATGGCTGGATGGTGTACGAACTAATGTCGTAACTGGAAGGTCCTGAGTTCGAACCCCGATAGATGCATACTTCGGATGAGTCTCGAACTAGGAAGAAGCAAGTGACCAGTACTCCGTGGTATTTGATGGTTATCTAATTGATTTTCTTTTTGATTTTTTTTTATTATGGCTTGATTCCACACCGTACTTTTAGTACAAGTATGGAATTTTCAGCATGTGATATCGGTAGCCCAAATTTCGCAGGGCGACCAATTGGGATCAGGTGTGCGTCGGTGGGGGATCGAACCCCGGACCATGTGCATGGTCGGCGAGAGTCCTAACCTCCGTACCACCGATCAATATGTGGTCAAACTTAAAATGTATATAACATCGTATAAGTTCCATAATGCCCAAGATTTAAAAATCTTACTCGAATACAACACATACATAAATGCTAGCGTGATTTATTGTTTTTGATTTTCTAGACGGGTCAAAACAAATAAATAAACTTCAAAAATTTATTTATAGGCTTTGTATTATTAAAATAAAATTCAAACACAAAGTAAATTCCAAGTCATCATTGTACCGGATAAAAAACGATTGTTTTTGTCAACCGTCACACTATAACTGGTCAAACAAAAATTAAACGTTATGATTCATTTCTACGCATCTGAGTGTATTTCAGCGTTGAATAATGTTTGATTAATAATAACAAATGTGTACAGGGTAGATCTGACTTTTGTTCAATTAATAGTACACCAACTTGGCGTTTTGAAGCTTGAGATTAAAATGCTGTGTTCCAATAACATCGGTCGAATAAACAGATCGGTAAAATAAACATTAAATTTTAGAGCTATATAGAAATATAGATGTGCGTTGGTGGCACAACGGTACAATGCACGCCAACCACGTATGTGGCTTGAGGTTCGATCCCCGGCTAAGCTAGTAATAAGACTGGTAATGAGAGGAGTTTGGAGTATAAGGCTGAAAACTCTATCCCGTAAAAATAAACACCACTGCTACCGAGACTTGAAACCTCTAGCTTGAAGCCCTATGTTCTAGCACTGGGAACGTAAAGGAATAGAACAAAAATAAAAATATAGGCCAGGAGAGCGAAATGTATTGCTAGAGTGGTGTGAGACATAAGTAGTCGGATGTTTTATAGCAAATAATGTTAAGCGCATAATCATATAATATTTAAGTTGAATCACATTATTATTATTATTGTTTCCTTTAATTCCTAGGGGAAAATAGGGCTTCAGCCGTGCGTCTCCATTGCGTTCTGTTCTCTGCTAGAGTCTTCACCTGGCTCCAAGTCTGCCCACACGTTTTCATCTCCTCTTCACACGACCTCCTCCAAGTCACACTTGCACTGACGACCAACTCGCCGCTTCCCTTTCGGGTTCCACTCGAGTGATGGCTTGTCTAGTGATGTCACATGATGGTTTCCTCAGAGTATGGCCAATCAATCCACCTCCATTTCTTCCTAAATATTTGTTTCACAATCGGTTCCTGGTTGATTCGCTCCCAAAGATCCCTGTTGCTGATCTTTTCTGGCTGGCTATCTGATCTTGAGTATTGAGCGAAGACAGCTGTTGATGAAGGTCTGTAGTTTGTTTGAGATGCTCTTTATGACGCGCCAAGTCTCTGATCCGTATAGTAGCACTGACTCCACATTGGAGTTGAATCACAATTCAAATTTAATCACTGCAATGAGTTTTGAACAGTCTATGAGATCACAAGCTTCGGCAGTATGAAGGTATACTTATCACCACATATTATCCTGGCTATCTGATAACATATTTGCGTCTTCATTTTCTTCCTGTCCCACTAGTCTTGTTAAAAACTGAGATAGATGACCACTAAAACTGTGTGCAGTAAGACTCAGGTTCATCAAAGACGACTATCAACGTTTTTATTCTTTAGTTCAGGACTAAGTCGTCACATAGGTTAGTGAAGAAAACCAAGTAATTCAGTAAAAGGTGACTGCTCTAGCTGCAGGAGATCTTTTCTTAAACAGTGATGAAAAAGCCTAGTTGACAATAAAAAAAATTATCTCGACAACATTTTCGCTGTATGAGAGTTGAAGAAATTCCGCTGATACTGACTAGCAGTGGAATCCAGGATGAGTATTTCATCCAATTGAGGACTCGTAATCTGGATGTACCTGCACCTTCCCCAATGAACGATAGCGTTCCCACTAAGACTCAGATCCAAATACCTATCACCTCAAACATCAAAAATGTTATCCACTGGACCACTCCCACCATTACTACTCGTTAAGGAGTGTAGGTACATCTCCACCCAGATGAAGAGCCCAAAAGGGACGAAGTGTCAACACTGACAATAGATTATTCCAAGAACAAAACATTATATAATCCTAGGCAGTTTAGATGTCATTACAACTAAAGACAGTAGATTACCAAAGGATTATATTACTATATCGACACGGAGGAGCACATTTAGTAGCTAAGTGAAAATTTAAGCCTACACCATCTAATAAAGCGTAGTTACACTACACTGACTGGGTGAATAGATGAAGTCGTTTTTTTCTTTCTAAATGTTTTCTTTCTCAAAAATGTTTACAACAATCAGTCAATCGAGTCAACAAAAAAATGAGTAAAAACTTTAAAAATGAAGATGTTTTCATTATTTATTAGTAGGCAGTCAAACGCCGAAACTGAAAACGTAAACAAGCAAAATAAAATAAAATTCAAAGTTAAACGTGACAATTAGCATAACTTGTGACTTTTTGAAACAATAAATTCTCAAATACTATATAGATCCAAAAGTTCTAAATACCAGTAAGCCTATAAAAAGCCTACAGAAATCAACCATCATAGACGTAATGGTACTGACAGCTAGGCAGTTTTCTTTTATCGAAAAGAGTACTCTTTGTTCCGTGTCTATTCTTTTGAAAATTAAAATTCCATTATCTTTATTGTAGCGCCACGTCACAGTGTCGACGGTTCAGAGGTAGAATGTTGGCCAACCATGCGGATGGTTCAGGTTCACCCCCCCTCTCACCCCACCTGACGCACTCCTGAACCCTGACTCATTTGCCAGCCAGTCGAAGGTCCGGAAAACAGGGAAGGTGAGGCTTGAAGATAACAATTTCATCCCGTAAAAGCGACACCACCGCTAGTGAAAATCTAAAACCTTGGAGTCCTGTTGTAATAGTAGAAGACAAAAGACCTGTATCTCTGTATAGCCAAATTATGCACACCTAATCTTCAACGCTACATTCGCACAGATCTTCCGTGTTCGGCTACTTCTCGCCTTCCTTCATGTTGTATTTCTTTGTGTTGCTTTCACGTCTTTCATGTATCTCCATAACACCGGATCATTTGCCTTCTCTCACATCAAATCTATCTATGTCGCTGTTATTTGATGTTTTTCTGCTGATGAACGTCTCTTTATATACTACTGATAAGTCTTATTAGTAGCACACGCCACGCTATGTTCTTCATGGGACGCAAGGGAATGAAGGCGAAGATACTAAAACAATCTAAGATTCAGGAAAATAATAAAATCAAACTCTATAAGTGGTGTCACTATTCATGTTTCTATTTATCTTTAAAACAAGATACCTTAGCCTAATTCGGGATAAACAAAAACAATTCACCAGGGGTTCGTACAGTTAAGTGTTCAGTTTGTATGAAAAAAAAGTGAAAGATAAATCATCATCCATACATTTATGAATAGGAAACATGAGGTTCAGAAAAGAGGTATTTTCGGAAAATCAATTTTCTCTAGCTGTAGAATTGCACTTATATACAATTTTCTATTGAGGAGGGTAGTAACAAAAGTATTAGTCAGTGCATAAAAGGGGTTAAATAAGTGTATTACGCTTTAAACGCGGTCTAGTCAAGACTGTGTACTATAGAACGAGAAGAATATGCTCTATAGAGAAATTAGAGGAAGAATTTGAATTTCTTGAAAAGACATTGAAGAGCAATGGGTACCCTCAAAGGTTCATCAACAAGTATGCAAGATCTGAAGTCGAAAATGAAAAACAAATCACAGTGGAAAAAAAGCCAATCTACTTTCAGCTTGATTATAAAGATGAAAACATTACAGCGATGATCAACAGAAGGCTGAGTACATCACTAGCTATAGCCTATCCTGCAGCCAAGCTCGTTCCGGTCTATCGAACAACTTGCTCTTTGGTGCAATCAAAAATCGATAGATATCCTTCTCATGTGAACTCCAACTGCATATACAAATATACATGTATCTGCACGAGCAGTTACATTGGAAGGACAGAAAGAAAGGCATATCTACGATTTTCTGAACATGTACCAAAAAGCTTACGTCTAAAGGGAACAAATTCTTTAAACAGTGCCATCGCCAGGCATCTCCTCGACACGGGTTATGAGGTGGAAATCGACAAATCCTTTTAAATTATCAACAGACAAAGGAGCTCCATTCTCCTCAAGTTTGCCGAAGCAATTTCTATCAAACGCTTCAAACCAGATTTATGTGTTCAGAAAGAAGCAGTTGTTAGTCTTTCCTTGCCATGGTAACTGCATGTCTTTATTCTCTACTCTGATTACGTGATCTTTGTCTTTAACCTCACCCCTCTTTTTTTATAATCTGTAATATTGCTTGTC